TATTTAAAGTAAGGCATTCAGATTAAATAGTCCTAAAAATAAGATAAAAAGCAAAAGGGGACTACATAATAAAATTGAAAAGTTAATGTCTCAAAAACAAATTAAATAAATAACACAACACATACTATAAAATAACATATCACAAACATTGAAAATGTAATAAACCCATATATTTAGGACCAAAATATAAATATCTAAAACTACATGCTGAAAATCAAAATAATAAAAAATACATAGCTTACAGTGACCAAAATGAACTCACGTAAATAAAATAAGACAAAATCATAAACTTAGGAAAGTTTTAATCCGGGATTAAAATGTAAACTCTTGAAAACTGAGAACTCTTCTCGCAGTTTACTCCACACGCGAAAACCTGAAACCATAATCCCCTAAAACTATATCATTTTAGGATCTCTATAAATACCCTATTATAGGGTTTTGGCTAAACTCCTCCCTCATTTCTCTTCTTTAGCCGTTCGACCTCTCGTCCCCTTTCATCTTTTTTTTTATGTATTTATCTTTTTTCGTTTTGACCGAAAACCATTGGTGGCCACAAACCACCATAAACTGCCCCGACGAGGGGCCAACCTCCATCGAAAATCCCTTAAACACTAACTCCTAAACCTTTTAACCCCTAGATTGAAACCTTTGCTCCCTTAAACTCCCCAAACCATAACCCGAAACAAAAGGACTACATTTGACAATCGATGAAGCCCTTCGTCGCCGGTGAGAGCCTTTAAACCAGAGGTAAGTTTTTTATTTTCTTTTTTCCCCTCTTTTTTCATTTTTTCATTTTGAAAAACCGACCCCTCCCCAAAATCTTATTTTTTTCTTCTTTCTTGCATGTTCAGTTTAGCTCAAACATAGGGAAATGATTTCCCTGCAAAATATTAAAAACCAGATCCCAATCTGACAAAAAATATGATTTTTCAAAATGTTTGGTATGGGTTTACTGTTGATGATGATTCTTGTGTTGATTTTGATTTTTTTATTTGCTTGATTTGTTTACTGTAGGTGACAGTGTGAGGCTGAAATGGCGGCCAGATCACCGGGAATGAGCCGGAACAATGGCGGTGCGGCGGCGACAGGAAGAATCCCGGGTGCAAGCTGTGGAGGCTGGAAGGATTAGGGTTTAAAAACCCTAGTTACATTTGGGTTGTTATATGGGTCTACTTTACTGGGCCTCAGGTCTTCGGTTGGTGCTTGTTGGGCCGATTGGGCTACTTAGGGCAGATTGTATTTGGGCCCCATTCGGATTTTATTTTGGCCTGTATAAAATAATAACAATAATATAAATATATAATATAATATTAATAAATTATAACCCGAAAAAAACAGATGTGTACGACCATCTTGATTAGTCATGGGGATGTCAAATTCAACCCTAAGAAAAAAGATAAACGAAAACAATGTCAAGAAAATAAGCTACCAAAAGGCAGAGAAAAACGTGTCATAAAGGTAGAGATAAATGTATCATAAAAGCAGAGAACATGTCACAAAGACATAAATATTCTTATTAAAAAACTTTAAAAAAACAAAGAAGAAAGACAACCAGCGGGTGGCAACCAACATCAAAACCGGTGTCACTGGCGGTTAAACAAAATTAAAGAAGAAAAGTTGGATTGATCAATAAAATTGACACAAGTTGTAAAGAAGAAAAAAGGGAAAAGAGAAAGGGAGGAAGAAAACAGCTTCATTTATATATAGCTAGCATAATATATATTAATTTATTATAATTTTAATAATATAGTGATATTTAAAAATAAAGTAGTTGTTATCGATATATATTTATAAATTAAAAAACATTAAAATATAATTTATAATTTTCTTATTTTAATCTATTGCCTTTTACTTTTATTTTTATTTTAATTGCATTTTTATGCTTATAATTATTCAAGTAATATTGATTTATATAAACAAATAATACTATAAAATCGGCTCACACAATAAAATAAAATAATAAATAAAGAGTAAAAAAATATAATAGCAAAATATCTTCAATGTATGAATACTTCTACCATTATGCCTAAAGGCCTAAAAACCTTTCTACTCACTTATACTAACTGTTTTTATAAATGTAACATTTAATCTTTAAACATTAATAAATATTTATAATTAATTATACAATAAAAATTTTCAATCATCTATACCTATAGTTTTTGAGATTCCAATTGATAAAATATAAATATGAAGAATTAAAAAAATTTATGTTACCTTTTTTAGCTATCATGTCAACAAATGGTAATAAAATTGACTTTCAAATAAAAATAATAATGTGTGCACTTAATTTCTATAAATAAAATAAAAACTAAATTTTTAAAATTTTAAAAAAATAAAATACCTTTTACATATTTAAATCACAAAATTATTTTGATAAAACATAATGTTCAATTTTAGTTTGTTTTTCCTTTTTGGTTTCCAATATTCATAACACTTCTTTATTTCTGTTCCCTTTTTAATTTTATCAATAAATCTCTTAACAAGAAAAATTAATGGAAGACATAAGTTCACTACCTTTCTCTCTATTTTTTCCATAGCATTTTCTTGTTAAATACTATTATTTTTATTCAATTTTTTTTGAATATTATAAAGTGATTATAAAATATTATCTATTTAGAATTTTTTAGTCATTGATAAAACATATAAATTGTAATAAAACAGAATCAATTTTTTAGAATAAATTGTTAAATACTATTATTTTTATTCAAGATTGACAACCAAGGAATTGTAATAAAACAGAATCAATTGGAAGTTGTGTTGTCTCTTTCTTGCTTTCCTACTTTCTTTTGGAAGAAAGATAAATTAATCATTTAGGGTTTAAATTTAATAATTTTTCTGAAATTAGTTCTTAAATGAACTTTTTAATTCATGTCGATCTTTAAATTTACATAATTTATTATTTATCATTTTAATGATGTAATATTTTAAGAAAATATAATATACTAAAGATCACAATGTCATGTTATCAAAACGATTAAAAATAAAATTTAAAATTTAAAAATTAATATAAAAATATGATTATAAATTGAATAAATTGTTCTGGTTTAAAAATTTAAAGTTAGTTACCCAAAGGAAACCAAGATTTAAAATTAATCTCAAATAGGTATTGAAAATTATGCCAAAGCATAGACTAAATTCAATTATAATAACTAAATTGCAAATATATAAAAATAGTTTGATTAACCTAAGTAGAAATAATTGATATTATAAAGGTAGGGATGTGCATGGGACTCAAACTTGATGGATTGGATTATTTTTTTTAAAATTTCGGGTTCAGATCAGGTCGGGTTGGGCTTTTTTAAGGTTATGTTCGGGTCTGGTTGGGTTGATTTCGAGTTTAGGATGAAAAATATCATACCCAACCCGAAAATAAATTGTAATTTTTCCTTATATATTTAGGGATAATTGCAATAATACACATTTATATATTATTTTCTTTCAATTAAATCTCTATTTTTATTGAATAAAAATGATATTTTTAATAAATATATTATTTCAGGTTGGGTCAGGTTCGAATTTTATCCCAAAAAATTAGGTCAGGTTCGAATTAGATGGAAAATGTATTTTTTGGGTTGATTCAAGTCGAGTGAAGAATTTATATTTTTCAGATCGGGTGAAGAATTTATATTTTTCAGGTCGAATTAGCTGAAAATAGAAATATATTCTCTCCAAAAACGTGATCAAGAATTACTGCTTATTGTCAAAGGAGGAATTACTACATATAGGTTTAATCCATTTCCAAGCCTCCAAAGAAATTTTTTCGCTTACGAGTCTCTCGATATCCATAACATCTAATCATCGATAACTTTTTGACATAATTTTTAACAAGTATTAATATGTCAAAATTAAATTTATTGTCAAACGATCATATCAGCTCGTTTTGTAATCTTACGAGTAGTCATCATAACCCTATACTTGACATCAACATTAAGTGTCAATATATAAATTCTTGTACAAGATTGAAGGAGATCCTATCTTTTTCCCTTTAAACCAGGGACGGAATCAAGATACTAGTTTAAGAGGAAAAAGTATAGTTGATAATAAAAAATAGGAGGACAAAATCAAATTAAACTAAAATTTAAATTTAAAAATGGACATTCATCCCTATATTTAAGGGAGACAGTGGCCCTCGGGATGGAGCTTTGCCCGAACCTCAAATCGCTCATGGTTTTTGTAATTCAAATGTTCCCATCAACAAGATTTGGACTAGATCACACTATCTAAAATAACAACACAAGTTTTCTCAATCTTTTATGAACAAAACACTCATTTATATTATTTATTTATTTTGATTATCAATTTTTATTTATTTATTTTAATAACCAATTTATTTTTTATTTTTGAGAAAGATATTCTAAAAAATTAATTTAATCTAAACATATATTAAAGGGATTTAGAAGATGGAGCCTCACAAAGAAAGTCTAAGCCGCCCGGTCCCTTTGCCCAAAATTCATGCAAAAGTTAGGTGCTTATAGACATATTTTCCTCATCCTAGCAATAAAATTTGGATAATTTGGAAGATGTACTATTTTTTGATTAAAAAAGCTGGAGGGAGGCAATATTAAAATCGAAAATTGGATAATTATTCTTATAATTTATATGAATAATTTATAATTATTCTTTCAAATAATTTTTTTTTAAATTTGGATGCAGTGTAATGTAACCTACAACTTTACACTAATATTAATATGACCACGTCTCTCCATTCGTATAATTGATGTAAGGAGTCTAACGGTGTAAAGTCACTACAAAGGCTAACTTATGTAATTGAATATTCTATTTGCAATACCATTACTTTATTCCCTGCTTAGCTGCCAACTTCAACCCAATAATATAAAGCATGAATCTGCACCAGTTGAAAATTTTCCTTTTTATTTATTTATTTATTTACATTTTAAAAATGAACTTTACCATGATTATGAGGTAAAATAAAATCTATATAAAGCGAGTGAAGAGGGTGGCTAAGAGCATAACAAAACCCACTCATCTTTGTAGCAAACATGGGGAAAATGGGGTCTTCAATGATCTCTCTCTTTCTTCCTCTCTTAGTCCTAGCAGTGTCTCTTAGATTGCCTTTTGAAACCTCAGCAGATTACACTTATTCCTCTCCTCCACCTCCTCCTAAGAAGTACTCGCCACCACTGCCACACAAAGAGCCCTACAAGTATAAGTCTCCTCCCCCACCAACCCCTGTTTATAAGTCTCCTCCTCCTCCCAAAGAGACATACAAGTACAAGTCTCCTCCTCCCCCCAAGGAGGCATATAAGTACAAGTCTCCACCTCCACCGGTTTACAAGTCTCCTCCTCCCCCCAAGGAGGCATACAAGTACAAGTCTCCACCTCCACCAATTTATAAATACAAATCTCCTCCTCCCCCCAAGGAGGCATACAAGTACAAGTCTCCACCTCCACCAGTTTACAAGTACAAATCTCCTCCTCCTCCCAAGGAAGCATACAAGTCTCCACCTCCACCGGTCTATAAGTACAAATCTCCTCCTCCCCCCAAGGAGGAATACAAGTACGAGTCTCCACCTCCACCAGTTTACAAGTACAAATCTCCTCCCCCTCCCAAGGAGACATACAAGTCTCCACCTCCACCAGTTTATAAGTACAAATCTCCTCCTCCCCCTAAGGAGGCATACAAGTACAAGTCTCCACCTCCTCCAGTTTACAAGTACAAATCTCCTCCCCCTCCCAAGGAGATGTACAAGTACAAGTCTCCACCTCCTCCTCCTACAGTTTACAAGTACAAGTCTCCTCCTCCTCCTCCTAAGGAGCCATATAAGTACAAGTCTCCACCTCCACCTCCTCATTCTCCTTCTCCAGTTTATAAGTACAAGTCTCCTCCTCCCCCCAAGGAGGAGGCATACAAGTACAAATCTCCACCCCCACCCGTTTACAAGTCTCCTCCCCCACAACCACCCCATTATATCTACTCTTCACCACCTCCTCCTCACCACTACTAATCTACGACTTCGATCGTACTGTAAGGTATCATATTTTAAAATATTTTTTTTCCATCTCGTCAAGATGCATCATTTTACATTGTTTTGAATGTTTTGATCTTTAGACAATTTAATAACCAAAACAATGGGTTTTCTTCTGCAGGAGAAGAGTGCTTCAAATAAAGCAAAAAATATGGTTTCAAAAGAAATATAAAGAGGCCATACAAGTGAAAATTCGGGAGGCTAGGCCTAGTCTCCACGGTTGATGTGAATGTTAGTAGACAAATTTGTATTTGGCAATGTATTATTCAGTGGTTCCACTTGTTTTTATTTCTCTCTCTCTGCTTAATAATAAGAATGAATCCTTATGTAAATGTGTACGTGTTTTCCAATTATTCTGCAAATGCATGGGTTTATCAGTAACAAAAAATAGTCCTTTTCCAAATAAATGCTCCACGTTTTGCTTAATTTTTTTGCGTAAATCTGAACATCTTTAACTTTTCAGTCCCAAATACTCGTCATAGAATTTTTAGTTGTCGGATCTCATGGAGCACCCCTCAAGCTAAGTATAATCTCCTTAAAGGTTTTGGATTTGAACAATTATACTTATAAGGTGTGTGCGCATTGACAATTGATTAAAATTTTTTAAAACATATATTATATTATAATCACCCGACCATTTACAAAATATATATATATATCGCAACTTCAGATATCAATTGGCAAGGTTAAAGTGGTTGGATAGTTTTATAGTAAAAGTTCAAATTTTATTTATGTATAATTTTATATATTTATAAATGTTTACCTCATTTAAAATAAATTTTTATCTTGATATTTTTATTTATCAATATTTTTGTTGACGTGACACGATAATGTTAAGAATACAATAAAAAATAATAAGTAAACGCTGATAGTTCTTTTGCTATTATGTATTTTTCACTCTTGATTCATAATTTTTATCGTCTTCTAGAGAAACAACTAAAATAATTGCTTAATGATCAAACACACAATGAATACATCCATACAAATTCTTTATCACTATATATAATAACTGACACATATATGAACAACATATATTTTTTTTGAAGATTATATATTAATAATATTTTATTTACAATAAGAAGTATTAAAAAGGGTAAAACTAATTTTTTTACAATTGTTTCTTTCTATGCCTCATTTTCTTATATCGTTGTATGATCTTTTCATTGTCTATATTATCAAACATTTCTTTCTGAATAAAAGTAACTATGTAATCATTCAGTCATTTATCTCTCATACAGTTATGCAATCGATTCTTTATAAAGTGTTTGACAAGGAATGCTCTTTTTATTGTTGTGGTTGTAACGGTAAAGCCACAACTAACTTTAAAAGTAAATACACAAGTGGGTACACAACATGCTTCATTGTCTCAATCATATTTTTAGATAAATCAGAAAGTCCTTTTAAATAATTAAATCTTACACTAACAAACCATACATTGTAATTATATCAAACATGAAATTCTTAAACATAAGAAGTATTAGTAATCCATTATTAACCCTAAACAATGATTAGGGACCAATTATTAATCTTTCAAAAGTTTAAGGACAAAAATATAAATATAAAAGTTATGGATCATTAAAAATTCAGTGTTAATATCTATTCCTCTATCAATAAATTTACTTCCAATCGTAAATCAATCTAACATCTAATTATCCGATCGATTAACGATATACATTAAAGTTTTGACACAGTTTTAACCAATTTGCTCATACCAAGTGCTTGGTAAAATTTGATAAATACTAGATGAAATCCACCCCCACAAATACTTTAGGGTTGGATATATATATATATATATATATATATATATATATATGTTTTGTCTAGTTTCAAAAGATAGTGATCCCAAGAACTCTATTTTGGCCTTAAAAATTTACTAAACTCATATTTTCTCTTAGAGTTTACTTTGTGAGAGTGCACGAACCAATTTACTTTAGTGGTTAAAGGAATGTTGTTGTTCTTAGAGGTCATGGGTTCGAGCACTAGCGACTGCAACAAGGTGATTGAGCGTTTATTGTCAAATGATTAAGAGTATTTAGAGCATATATTATTTTGTAATCACCTTAGCTTAATAAAAAAATAGTTTGTGAGAGTGATAATGCCAACATTGGGCTTATATAATTAACAAACTATAATTACCTTTGTGAGAAGGAAACTAATTAGGCTAATCGTCTAACCATGTGGGACATCATATATTTTTTTATAGAATCAATTAATTTTATTCAAAATAGGAAAGATCTTAAATTACAATAAATATTTACAATCACAATCGTAAATTAAGCACATAATTAGTAAAATTTCCTATAATCATTGAAATAAAACTAGCAACTTAAGATCACAAACCATACAATGAAAGATTTAAAATTAAACCAAGGATCTCAAACAAAGATAAATACAAACAGATCTGATAGCATCGACAAACGATCCACAAAAGGGGATCAAGCTATTGAAGACCATCAGCAAACCATAAATTAGACACGAGTGACTTGAAAAGCTATCCACCAACGTAAATCGGTATCCAAATCTAATTTGAGGGTCCAAAACAGGGAAGATCAACAATATATTAGATAAATGTCATATTGATAAGTTATGTCGATGTCAAATCAACCCTTAGAAAAAAGATAAATGAAAAAATAACGAAACAACCGAAACATATACCAAAAAGCATAAGAAAACATTTCATATAGGCAGATGAACATGTTTCATACAAGCAGACTTATTAAAAAAAGAAAAGAAAATAGGGATACAATATAAAAAATAATCTCTATCTTTTAAATGATCTTGAAAGTTTGTGTGATTCACATCAATATTTTTTATAAGAAAAAAATATTACTCTTATCTGACTAAATTTATCATAACCTTTTAAAAAAATAAAAATTTCAAATATTAACCATTATTATTTTAAATATTTTAAATAATTAAATTTTATAAAATGTATTTAAAAACTAATTAATTAAAAGTTTTTAAAATATATTTTTTTATTAACAATAAATTTTAAATAATATTAAGTTAAAGATAAAATAATAATAAAAAGTCAATAAAAGACATATTTAATGCAAGAAAGAAAATAATTTCTATTTTTAATTAATAAAATAATTTAATAATTTTTAATAGATTTCCATATATAAATTAGCTGACCCTATTCTCATATGTAATTGGATAAGGGGAGGTAGGGTAGTAGTCTGCCCCTAATGCCAGGTTTAGAGCAACTTCCGTGGAAGAAATCTGTTATGAATTTCCATATATATATGCCAATTAAATGAATTAAACCAAGTTTTAAGTCTAAATTAATCTGTCTGTCCCATTCACTGTCCTTAAATGTTACACCAACCTTTGACCCTTGCATGCATATACTTATTATTATCCCACGTGGGATAGTCATTCCAAAATTCTATAAATAGTGTTAAATCTTAATTTATTATCTTATTAAATCTTATCACATTTACGATGTGAACCAATGACATATTTTGTATATAAAAATATAATTATAAAAATAATTCAATAAATATTAATAAATAGAGTAAAAATTGTATAAAATTTTATTAGTGTTATATTTGATTATTAAGTATTAATTTTTCTAATAAAAACGAGAGTTTAACTTTTTATTATTATAGAAAATTCGCCATTCTAGGCTTGAAAATGCCTATCATGTCATCATTAATACATTAAATAAAAATATTTCATCTAAAGGTAGTTGCAAATATGGAGTCCTAATATTAGTTATTATTTTTATTTTATTAGAAAATAAAAAATACTGAAAAATATTCCTATTTGCTCAACGGTTTTGATAGCCAATTAGGAGGGATAAAATTAGTTGTTGAATTTCATTTTTCCATTCTTTTATAGTTTTAATAAATTTAATTCAATTCCATGATAACCGTGCAATTTTTTAATCACAATATTGTAAAAAATACTAATAGCAGCAGTTTAATTAGTCAAAATGTACTTCTCTCCTGTCGGTGGTTTAAATATAAATATATATTTTTTTATTAAAAATATAAATATATATTTTTTTATTAAAAATATAAATATATTTTATATGTGTAAATATATAGAATGGTTTGAGAAAGCAACAGATTTGGAGATTGGACCTAACAATCATTTGATCTAATTGCCATTTGTTTAATCAAAATATTTTTGTCTTTGCACCAACCAAGTGGTTTCGTAGTAAAATAATTGTTGTTATTCTTGAGGACATGTGTTCGAGCAATATAGATATCAGGTGTGTGAGCGTTTAATGTTGAAATATTGAGAGTTATCTTCGAACATATACTACCTTATACTTATCTCATGTATATATATATATATATTATAATTTTCTTATTTTAATCTATTTCCTTTTATTTTTTTATTTTAATTAGTTTTTATATTTTATAATTATTCAAGTAATGTTGATTTATATAAGCAAATAATACTATAAAATCGGCTCGCACAGCAAAATAAAATTATAAATAAAGAGTAAAACAAGGATATAATAGCCAAAATATCTTCAATGTATGTATATTTCTACCATTATGCCTTTACGAATAGTGCGAGTTGATTATAAAACATATTTACAATATTTTTAGTCATTAATAAAGCATAAAAACCTTACAGACATATCCGTTCGAACTCTAAACCCATAAAAAACAACAATTTATTCTACCATCAAAGCAGCTCAATAGGTTGATTTTCTCTTTTGCCAAGATTGACAACTAAGGAGTAGTAATAAAAGAAAATCAATTGGAAGTTGTGTTGTCTTTCTTGCTTTTATACTTTCTTTGGAAAGAAAGATAAATTAATCATTTAGGTTTCTAATTTAATGTTTTTTTTTCTCCAATATAGCTCTTAAATGATTTTTTTAATTCACATCCATTTTCATATAATAGTGTATTTATATGTTCTATGCGCTCGTGCAAGCTTAGTAAACACATGATGATCTACAAACAGCATAGGGGAGTTAGAAGTGCATTACATTACTCTTAAGCTACAAGAAATCACTCCGAGCTCACCCAGAACAAGTTTCTCTTTTCCCTTGCTTTTGGAACTTTCTCCTACCTCTTTCTTTAATCAAAGAACAAGAAATGAGTTACCAATTCATCTAGAAACCAAAAAGAGTTTAAGAAGGTTTTTTTAAGCTTCTAATCCAACCCAAAACGAGTTGGATAGGTCTAGAATTCTAAAATCCTATTAACCCCTAACTATGGCTACCATCGTAAAATCTTGAGAAAGAAGGCGGGCCGGCCTTGGGCCAAGGCAAAAGTGACGCCCGCCCATGGCCCATAATTTTAAAAAAAATCAGTATAATATATTTAATTATAGTCGTCTATTTTCTAATAATAAATTTTAAAAAAAAATTATTCCACTTATCATAAAACTCTAATTGACATTGTCTATTATTATTA